CGCGCTGCGCACCGCGGGGGGCCACCTAGCAGCCTCGGCCCGGCTGGGCGCTCCGGGGCCTGCGCTCCGCGGGTTTCTGCGTAACCGAACTTCCTGCCCCAGCCCGGCAGGGGCTGCTGTGGCTCTCCGCGGACTTCGCCGACCCGGAGCCTGGCTCCCGGTGACTTGATCTGAATCAACACGGTAACCGTTAACGCTTACTGAGCACTCTCCGTGCGCCAGGAACTGTGCGAAGTGGTTGCCTGCGTTACCCAGTTTAATCCTCAGGAGGGAGGTGCCGGGACAACGAAACAGGTTTCAGAGAAGTTTGGTAACTTGCCTAAGATTACACTCCAAGTGAGAGGATTTGAACTCGGGCCGGAACCCCCTTCCTCGCCGCGTGCCAGCTTTTTGTGGTCAAGGCACTTGAGAGAGGAGATTCCTTGGCTTCCCTTGGCAAAAATAATCCCAGTGGGAAGGAGGTGAGGGCTGAGGAAGAGATCGTTTAGGGTAGTTGCTACAAAGGGGGGAGGCTTTGCTGGAGATTCCTGGAGTGAAATGGGAAAGAGATTTCAAACTCTTTTCTCCCTGTTTTTCAGGGCCAACTTCTGGCTCCTTTTGCAGCCTCTCCATCCCTCAGGGAGCTCTAGAACCAATGCCCAGGACAGTGCCTGGCATGCTTTAGGCCCTCAGTAAATACCCATGGCATGAATGCACTCTCAGCCCATAGTCTTGTGACATATGGGACTACACGGGTAGTCTCCCTTTGGCTTATGCCTGATGACTGAGAAGTTCTGTGTATGTGCCTTAGCTCCTCACCTGGTTTGTAATGGGTAACAAGGCAAGGAGTGGGGATGTAATACACACAGGAAGGTTTGCCAACAGGTTCCTCTCCTTCTGCCAGAGCCCACAAGCGGTTTTGTGAGTTGCTCCCCCCAGAGCACCGGAGTGTGGAGGAGTCACTGCAGATACGAGTGTCCTTGGAGCAGATCCTCAGCCTTCCAGAGCTCAAGGTGCCAGTCCCCCACCCTCCCTCTGCAGTTTGTCTCGAAGATCATGTGGTCACTGGTCCCCATTCTGGTCTTCTCTCCATTTAGCCCTGATTTCCTGGGGATAAGGGCTTTACCAAAATCACCCAGTGGAATGAACTAGAGTGGTGTTTTGCAAACTGGGATTCTTGGACACATTCTTGGAGAGTCAAAGAAGTTTTGTCCTTTAAAAGGAGTTGAGCTACCTTATTCAAGTTTGAGAAACCCATTCCAGAGGCTGATTGCCTCTCCGTAGGGTTGCTGTGAAAAAAATTTTTTAACGATTCTTACTTATTTGGGAGAGAGAGTCGGGGGAAGGGCAGGGAGAGGGACAAGCCGACCCCACACGGAGCCTGACGAGGGGCTCCATCTCACCACCCTGAGCGGAAATCAAGAGTCTGACAGCTGACTGAGACACCCAGGGCGCCCGACTGTGAAAATTTTTATGCAAAGCGCTTGGCCTAGTGCCTATAACACAGTGAGCGTTCAAGTAAGTGTGTTTTCAAGTAACCAGCCCATCTTGTTCTCTTTGCTTAGGATGCTTTCATCTTCCTTCTCTGCCCCTAGGCCTGCCTTTGGGTTAAACTGACTCACAGGAAGCCATCCCTGTCCCTTCCCCAAGTCAGGTGGTCCTCCTGCCCTCCATGCTGGCCCTAAAAGACTGATCCTTCTCTCCTGTGAGCCTGAGCTCATGGAGCGGGTACTGTGACCTGCTTCCTCCAGTTCCTGGTAGGGTTTGAGGACTGTGTGACCTGGGCTGCACCTGTGGCCTTCACACAAGGCTCTCTTGCCTAGGCCAACCCCTTCAAGGAGCGAATCTGCAGGGTCTTCTCCACATCCCCAGCCAGGGACAGCCTGAGTTTCGAGGACTTCCTGGACCTCCTCAGTGTGTTCAGTGACACAGCGACTCCAGACATCAAGTCCCACTATGCCTTCCGCATCTTCGGTGAGAGCCAGGAGCAGCTTGGCGGGACACAGGCCTGTCCCCACATGGTCTTGGTGGTGGTGTACCGCTCGGGACCTGGGGGCCGTCTGTGGAGCCTGGAGGCTCCCCCTGACCACATTCTTTCTGGCTTCCTGTGTCTGTCTCTAGACTTTGATGATGATGGAACCTTGAACCGGGAAGACCTGAGTCACCTCGTGAACTGCCTCACAGGACAGGGTGAGGACACTCGTCTTAGTGCTTCAGAGATGAAACAGCTCATTGACAACGTGAGTAGCTGGGCCGGGCCAGGGAGCCAGAGGGAAGGGCTGGGACTAGGTCTGAAGCTCTCCCTTCCCCAGATCCTGGAAGAGTCCGACATTGATAGGGATGGCACCATCAACCTCTCAGAGTTTCAGCACATCATCTCCCGTTCACCGGACTTCGCCAGGTAGGACGGTAGCGGTCCCCCCTCGTTCTGGGTCCCCATCTGCTGCACCTGGGTCTGGGATGTCAGGATGCGCGGCAGCAGCCGGGCTGGGAAAGCCCCAGTTCCTCTCAGGGTCTCAGGGTAGCTCTTCCAAAGGGGAGGGACAGACGTGGGACAGCCCATTCCAAAGGGTCTGAGGGAAGATGTGGGCAAGTTTGGGGTTAGCCCCTCCCCTCCTCTTTCAGCAGAAAACCTGACCCACTCTTCTCTTGTTCAGCTCCTTTAAGATCGTCCTGTGACAGGAGCCATGGCGTGTGTCCCAGCGAGCACCCCATCAGAGAGCCTTTCCACTGCTGAGCTGTGGCCGAGGTCATGCCTGTGTTGCCAGGGCCGGCCAAGCTGGCCTAGCCCAGAGCTGGCACCGTGTGGTCCTGCTCCAGGCAGGGAAGGCCCCTCCAGACCAGGGCCTCTCTCCTTCTGTCATTGTCATCGCTCTGTTTGTGTTCTACTGATCTATAATAAAGGTTTAGACGTTTTGACCCTTTGCGTGATACTAGAAACATTGGTATGAGGAAGGACTGGACTTCCAGAAGCCTTCGGTCATACTGGAAAGAACAGGATCTAAAGGGCCAGCAGGAAGTCAGACTGTAGCCCACCCGGCCCTCCCCTCGCGAGGGTGTGAGCAGGAAGGGGTAGCCTGACAGATGGAACGCTATATCCTGATGCTGGTGGTGCTTACAGAATTTCCACACATGTAAAAATTTAGACAACTGTGTGCCAAAAGAAAAACCCACTGCCAATTTCACTGTATGATCATTTAAAAAAATAAACATTTTTTAAATTAAAGAAAAAAACAAAACCCAAAAAACATGAACAAAACCTCTGGTCCTCTGTGCTCCCACCTGAACTGAACTGGGGGAGGTGCAGAGTAAAGGGGTTGAGGGAAAACGAATGAATTCCTTGCCCCTCCCATCAGTGCATTAAACTTCCCACCTTTAGGACCACACTCCCCTGGGAGATGGGAGTCGGCCAGGCCAGGATGGCTCTGGCCCACTAGCCCCTGGAAAGTGGAGGCTCAGAACTCCTCAAAATTCAGAGAACTGGGCCAACCTCAAAAAAGGAGGAGTCTTTTGAGAGGAAGGGCCATGATTCTGTTTCTGTTCTTTAGATTTTATTTAAAAAAAAAAGTAAAGTGCCTCTTATAAAAAAAAATATAAAACCCACATAAACTCGGGGTTCCTGTGTAGGGCAGTGTCAATACCCCTCAGAGGGGGAGCAGGCAGGTAGAGGGGATGAACCGGGGGCTGGGCTCTGGGGAGGAGTCCAGGGTGGATGGGTTCGAAGGCTGGGATGGAGGAAGGCAGGCAACAGTCTCTTCCTTGACTTCAAGGGAAAGGCGTCCATCGTCCTAAACTCTCTCCTGGGCTCACGCTGCCCCTCTCGCACGTGGCCACAGCCTGATACAGGCCGGAAAGGTCCAGCAGGTGAATCTGAGCCCAAGGCCTTGTGACAGCTGCGGTGGCAGCGTGGCCCTCGGGTCCCTGAGGTGACGGGATGATAAATGTAATAAGTCGGCCAGCCGGCAAGGCAGGACCCACGGAGCCCGAGCCGGCCCCTGCTTCTGGGGGACGAGGGGCAGCCGGTGGCAGCAGGGTAAGGCAGAAGGTGGAAGAGGCCAGCTGGTGGGGATGGCCAGCTCTGTCTCAAGCACTCTGGGTGAGTCGGCCATGCCTCTGAGGCCCCGCGGCGCGGCTGTTCGCGCCCATGGAGCTCTGTGATGTGCTGTTCTTCTCAATCGCTTCACATTTGCAATTGTTTTTTAAACAAAGGGCTCAGTTTTACACAAGGAGCACTGTTCTGCCCTTCCAGGCAGGCCCCCATTTGCAACCGGGCTCTCCCAGGCCACGGCGGTCGGTCGGTCGGTCGGTCGGTCGGAGGGGGCCGCGCTACTTGGCCGAGGAGCAGCAGGCCCGCGGGCTCCATCAGCCCCGACCCCGGGCGCCACGGTCGTGTTCCCCGAGGCGCAGCGGTCCGGCTGGCCCCCTCTGAGCACTCACGGCCTCGGAAGCCAGGGTGGACCCCTCGAGAAGTGTGCTCTCATACCACGGAGTCCCGGATCTCAGAGCCCAGGCGGACCCGGGGCCGGGGGCACACCGGGGACACCTCCACAAAGCTGTCCTGGATGCTGAGCGGCCGCTTCTCTGACTCGGTGAAGACGCGGGGCGCCGGGGAGCTATCTGACAGGGCCTGGTAGCCCCGGTGGTCGAGTGGGGTGCTAGGGGGGCCTACGCCGTTCAGCGGCCGGGTCTCGGGTGGCAGCGCCACGGGGCGGGCCTTGGGGTGCACACTGGTACACTCGCCCTGCTTCAGGAAGACCTTCATGCCACCCCGGTGCCGATAGAGGAAGAATAAAATGAAGAGCACCACGGCGAACACAAAGAGCGTGCACATCACCAGGAACTCGGTCCAGTAGGACTTGTCTACACCCCAGCTGGCCTTGCCGCCCGCTGGCGCGCTCACCCGGGACGTGCTGATGACGATGGGCATGCTGCCGCTGCGGTCGGCTCGCTCTGCCAGCACGTCGTCCACCACCTTTGGGTAGTAACAGGCCACCAGCTGCCGGAAGCCCTCCTCCAGGGACCAGCACTGGAACACCCCCAGTTCCTGCTGGCTGCCCACCAGCAGCAGGTCCCCAGTGGGCAACACACGGCAGGAGGCTGAGGCATTGACAGGGAGACCATTGTGCAGCCAGAGCCGGGTGGCTAGGTTGGAGAGGAGGGGGCAGGCCAAGGTGTTCACCGTGTTGGGCTGGAAGTAGACTTGCTCACATCGCTTCCCACCTACGGACACACGAGAGAAGCAGCCCAGGGTAACGGGGGGCGGACCGGCATCCACAGGAGCCCCAGGCTCACCCCACCTCTCTCGGGACCGCCCTCCTTGTGCCACGATGCGCAACTCTGGCGACTCGGAGTCTGGGACGAGGTCGTGAGGAAAGGCATTTACACCCACCACTGCCTGCGGGGGCTTTCTCAGCAGACCCGGCCCCCCCCTCAGCTCCAAGCCTTCTCAGGGCCACTTACCTGTTAGTACAGAAGACCGGGGCCCGGGTGAGGAAGTATTGCAGAGATCCCTGGTGTTAGCCCCCTCAATGTCCTGGATCCATGGCCTGAGGACCAGAGAGAGTCAGAGAGAGGCCAGGAAACCACCATGCACCCGCTTGGCCCCATCCCCAGTGCAGCACATGGCGCTTCTCTGGCCCTGCAGCCCCGCAAGGGCCTGGGGCTCAGGGAGCGCCGGGCCCGAAGCCCGAGTCAAAGGCAGGTGGTTTCCCCAGGCTGACTGCCTTGCAGGGTCTGAACCAACATCTCCTCTGTCTACACAGTATTTATTTCAAACACAATTCACTATAATACTTCCCTGCACTACAAAAGCAACATGGACCTTTCTGGAAGGACAGCTGGATCTATACGCATGTCTCTCTTTTAAAGCAATGCACATGCACGCACTTGCTTAATAAAACATAATAAAGAATAAAAGTAATCCGTGATACACTCACAAAACCTAAAAAAACTCAACCAAGTACAAACGCTGAAAACACTACGGGAGTCCACACCATCTACCAGCCGGTGGTGATCGTGACAGGTGGCAGTTTGGGCGTGTCCTTCCAGGTGCACACGCGTGTGCTCAAATGGGATTCTTTGAAATATAAAACTGGCACCAGGTCTGTGTGTGAAGCAAGGATGCTACGAATGGGACAGAGTCCATTTTTATTTAAAATACACGTATTTTTGTTTATCACACATATATATAGAAAAACCCGGGAGGGTATGTATCAAAATCTCACTGCAGTTCTCTCTAGGTGGTGGGATTCGGGATAGTTTTTGTTTTGTTTACCTCTACTTTTCAAGTGTTCTATACGAACATCTTACAAACCCAATTTAGTGCTTCTGAAAGCGATTTTTAATCGGTTTGTTAATGGATTGTCACGTAGCTCTTATTTTTCGTTGAACACATTCACATGCCAATCCACAATCTCCTGCAAAGCTTCTCAGAGCCGTGGCACTTCACACTTTACCAAACGAGGTCCCCGGCTCTACAGCTGGGTAAGGCAAACATTTACGGCCCAAACCGGAACACTTCTGAGAGTCAGAGGGGAGCCAGTTCCTAATCGTGCTGACCGTGGCCACAAAGGAGGCTGCTTGGGGCTTCTACAGAGGACCTAGAGAAGGTGCCCCGAGGCCCAGTGCACAGCGACGGACAGGTGGGCAGGGCCGGCAGGAGCTCTCACCTGGAGGCCGTCTCAGACCGGTAGAGGCTGATGTGTCTGCATCTGGAACTGCTCCAAGCGCAGTAGGGGTCCCGGGCGAGGACGCAGTCCCCACAGCTCTGGTACAGGCTGCAGTTGGCGACGGGCACCTGGACCACGCCGGAGGACGCGGCAGCGTAGAGCAGTCCCTGTACGGACACGGACACGGGGATGAGGGGCAGGAGCGGGAGGCCAGGGCCACCACCCACAGCTGCACCCGGCCACTCCCCAAGGAGCCTCCTCTCATGCTCCCGGGCACCCCGCTTTCTGCTGCCTTATGCCACGAGCCTGGATCTCTCCATCCTGCTGGCGCCAGGGAGGAAAAGCTGGCCGGGGCCCGCCAGTCCATGGCAGAGGGGCAGCCGAGCACGCTCCCCTGGCTCCTCCTCCAGCTCACCCTGGTGGCGTCCAGGAGCAGGTTCTGGACGGGCTGTCCCGGTGGGAAGATCTGGAGCTCCTCAATGATGTGCACCCGGGAGCCCACGGCCACCGCCTTGTGCAGCCGGCCATCACCTGGAACACGGACGGCACTCAGACCCACATCCCAGCAGCCGGGGCTCCTCGACCCCGAACCTGCCCTGCCGTCGGCACTCACCGGTGCCCAGGAAGAGCACATCATAGGTGCGGTGCAGGCCAGGCACACGGTGGACGGCCACACGCTGGTAGCGGGCCCGGGGCTGCAGCAGCAGGAGGTGGCTGCGGACCTGCCCGTCCATCAGGAAGTGGTCCTTGAGGAAGTTCAGCACACGGTCTGGGAGTTGCAGGGATGAGGTGATCCTCCTCTCCCGGGCACTGTTGGTGATGCACTGAAGGAAGAGGCGGCCGCGTGAGGTGGAGGGCTGCTTAGGGCAGCACGCAGGAGGGGAGCCTGGAGACGCGGCCAGGACTGCTGGCCCTGCCCACCCCGGTGCGCAGGACGGGTATCTGCCCACCCCCCGGAAGCCATGGCCCGTCACTTGGTTCTGCATGGAGCCAACACACTGATCTGGAGGCCCAAGGGCAAAGCCTGGATATGGGGCACCCAGGGGCCCTGGCTGGCAGGGTTCCGCCTTCCTGCCCAGGCCCCTCACCCTCACCCAGGCCTCAAGAAGCATGACCACCCTTCATGCTCCTTTTGCCAGTGCTCGAAGGAAGCCCTGGCTGGCCGGGTTTCCTAGTGCAGGGGTCAGAGGGTGCTCTCTTGGGGCCCCAGGGAAGTAAGGCCCAGATGCCCATGACGGGAACAGCTCAGTG